AAAGGTATGGTAAAGTGGTTTTGACCCACTAGCCACGAACCCAACGAATAATTGAATAATTGACCGGTTCCTACATGATTAACAATTTTTTTATTACTACAGCTAATTGTCTGTCTCCCAATGTTTGCCTTTTAAAAATCCCTGAAGTGCAGAATTTATTAATTTCACTGCGACTATGTTTTGTTTAATCAATTTTGCATACGGGACAATTTAAAAGTGCCATCAGGGGATGAGTAGCTCGTCGAGTGGTGGACTTTTTCCGCGTCATCGGCGAAATATGAGGCCTTACGTGCTTAAGCAGTCATGGAGAAAAACTGCTTTAACTTCTCCTTAATTGCGTGCCACTATTCATTGTCGCCCGTTACTTGATGGAATTGACCTTTTCGTTGTCAAGAAGGTTCATGGTGAAGAATTCCCCTCAGGGCCCACCAAAACTCTTCGGCTTTCCGCTCATGGAAGTGGTTAATGGAGGTTCAATTACCTTTCCCCGAGATCGCCGCCGAACTGTGTAGTTATACATAGCCGAAATTTCTCTCCAATCGTTAATTCAATAAAGGAAATCGTTGGCTTGGCAATTTACAACAATATCGCCAACAGAATTGCACTTTCTTAAATTTCAGTCTTGTAAACGAATTATCGTCAATACATCTCTCCATTCGACTTATCCTGGGTAATTTATGTTTTATTTTAGCTTTACGTTAATTATTTTAATTAATTGATTTAATTAAGTTAATCAAAGACTTGATTGTTTACGCCTTTCAAGAGAAAAATCTTTAAAAACTAGCTAAACAATGTCTGGCAATCAACAAAAAGTCTGTAACACCCAACGTCTTGCCGTGAATGGTCTAGATGTTCTTACATTTTCATTAGAAATTTCCTTTTTTCCATAGTGAAATAGGGTTTAAATAACTCTTATGATGTGAGTAGCTGTTGTATCTGTCCAAAAATTATATTTTTTCTTTAATAACAGAAAATATGATTTAGTTCTATCTAGGTAAGAGTGAGAATTGATAACTGATTTCCTGTTCTATCATTGCAATAAAATATAATTGTGTCATATTTAAATTTATTATTAAATCTGTGGTAACTGAAAAGTTGGATTAAGTCAAAAATTGTGAAAATCGAGTTGAGCACATGGAAAAATATCAAAACCATTTCCGCAACCTACGCTATTTGGTTGAGTAGTAACTTCATTTTTTGCCATATTTTTTTTCTGCAAAACTGCATCTATGTCTATTATAGCTGGCTCAGAATTAGTTTGCGTGGTACAATGGAACAATCTTTTTCCTTTTTAATATAAATTTTTTAAATGTTAATCATTCCTTTGAGAGTGTTTAAATGTCATCCAACTCTGAATATATACATTAATAGAAGCTCTGAAATGAAAGATTTTAGATTCAACTTTTAGCTAGGATTATTACTTGGACCACAACCGGTATTACCCCACTCTTTAAGCACAGCAAAAGAGAGTATAGGTAGCTGGGGCATGAAACAATTCCTTAAGGAATGGAATATGTCCCCCGGATGCAGGCAATCGAAGGAGTTTCTGAAGGAAATCAAACCTAAAGAAACGAAATGGCTACTCTCTAACTCTAGGAGGGGAATAAGGAGGCTGATAGGTATCCTAACGGGCCATTGCCCCTTGAGAAGACACCTCTTCATAATGGGTACTCTACCAGACCCCTTCTGCCGCTTCTGCGAAACAAAAGAAGAAACGGCTCGACACTACCTCGCAGAATGCGATAGGTATGCTAGGGAAAGATTTAATACTTTCGAAGGAGAGGACATAACCAAAACACTCCCCAGGATAAAATGGTCCACAATCCTGGGGTTAGTGAATAGGTCCAATAGGTTTATGCAGGACTCGTGTGCCGACCAGGTCCCGGACCTTTTAGGGATGGGGTACGGGCCTACTCAGGCTTTTAACCCCTCGGGTCCTGGTCGCCCGCCCTGTGTAATATATATATAGGATTATTGCTTGCGCTTTTGTGGAAAGGTTCATTATCTACAAGATAAAGCAAAATTACAAAACTAGATGATTTTATTAAATGCTACCGTAATTCAACTGCTATGGTATCCCGATTATCCGCAATCCATAAGGTCTTTGAACCTATGGAAACTGATTAACAGCGTGGTCAGCTCGTCATGTTAAAAAAGAATAATTCGTTGTTATTAATTCTCAAGTGAAGTGGAATGCCGTAAACTTCATGGTTTTATTTCAATCCGTTCAAAAGTTACGATTTTTTAGTTTATTAAAGAAAAACACGTTTTTTAAATAAAACCTGAATTGTCTCCATTCTAACCTAACTTTTCTCAACTTTTGACCATATTTTTAGATTTAACACCGAATTTTCTTTTACATTAGTCCAGTTTTGGTCGAAAAATTGCCAGTCTACTTATGAAATAAAACAAACATCAAGAAATTTGGGAAATTGTAATTTTGGATCAACTTCTTTAAACCCCCTTAAATGCCTTATATTACGATTTTAAAAATATCAAAACAGTTAAAAACTTAAACATTTTATGAGTTTTCCAACGGTCTATTCGAAACCTAGATTATTTTTATTTTTCAGTTGGAATTTGGGAATTCGTGGTATAACGGAAATTAAACGCATGTCCCAAAGGAGTTGATGCTAATTTTTATTGTGAGGAATAGTTTGTTTCTTTACTAATGAATTATTTCAGATGTATTTGTTAATTGGCCGATCAACTCTTGGGCCATGAAAAATCAAAAATAGCTACAAAATAAAATAAATTCCTAGACATTACCACATATTCATGGAAACATGGTTGAGATAGAAAGTTGCCAATACTTTATTCAGTAGAGAAATTATTCTAGTTTCAGTTTCTACATTTTTGTTTAATCGTAAGAATGTTTCTAAAATTTGTAAAAGTATAACAAGTGGTTTGACCGGTGACACAGTATTGGAAACTGTCCCACCCATTAATATGGGGTAATGTCTAGAAGTTAGGTGACCGGTAATACCCCGTTCTCCGTTACAAAATAGAATGTAATAGTTTCGGCAAGGGTAAGTGGACCAGGATGATATCGAACGACCACGCTGCAGGCCCAACACCACAAAAGCTAAAAACAGTTTACTTTGAGGCTTGGAAGTTTCCAATCTATGTCAGAAGCATTTCGGCATTCCAGAAAAGAACAATCCATTAGAAAGGACCAAATCAGCGAGGATAGTTGGATGATCTCAAACAACAGATTGTTCACGCGGAGCTTAAAAAAAAAAAATTAACACAGCTTTGAGTATTTTTAGTTTTCGAGCAAGTTGTTCAGACTATCCTCGCTGTTTCCATATGTCAGTAGTATATCGCACATCCAGTAAAATAAAAATTCATTGGAAAGGACTAGATATGCCAGGACAGTAAACCAGGATGATCTCCAACTACCAGATCATAACTCCAAAGGTCCGTAACTTTGCACAGCTCAATACAAAATATCACCACTTTACTTAGAATCTAGGGATCTGGGTGTCTCAGGTATGATACAGAACGCAAACCAGGTTGATTACTAGGCTGAAAAAATCTCAAATTTTACTTTTACTTTAAATCCTTTAGAAAGGACTAAAATAGCCAGAATAAGATATCGCAGGACGATCTCGGACTACATGGCTTGCTTATCGTTCATATGGCAGACGCATAACGCATATTTTTATATGTAATTATCTTGGTTATGTTTTTACAAGTGTTTTGTCATATTATATATCATATTATTTTGTTTAGTTTTACTGTTGATTTCGGCCAGAGCTATAATTAATTAATTAAGCATGGTATGCTACCGCCCCATGAGCCTATTACCTTTGTTCTTATCAATTTTTGAAAGACTTATACTGCCAAAACGTCTACACTATTTATCTCAAATAATTCCTTATTTAAAATTCGGTTCCGTCCGCAGCACTCATGCCAACAACAGTTCCATAGAGGAATTGACAAATTACAAAAAAAAAAAATCTGTCAAGCTCTATTTGCTGATATGCAGTAGGAATTTGATAGGGTCAGAAATTCTGGACTTCTATTCCAAATTTAGGAGGAGCTGCCAGACTCTACCATCATGTGAAATCATATCTACACAATAGAACTTATATCCTCAAGACTCAAAAATGGCGTATGAAAATAAATCCCCAAAAGTCTACCCTTGTTGCATGCAAGATTTGAAACGACACCGGTAGTCATGGATGCAGCTCGGATACCTGGAGTCTTTTCCATAAAATATTTAGTCTCCACGCACGATAAAAGATTGATATATTCAAAACACATCAATGATCTGATTAAACGATTTTTAGGGCGAACCCATCTTCTGAAGCCCGTTCTTCACTTTCACTCTTCAAAGGAAGATTGCTATACCTATCAATTCTCTGTCCGATTCGGCACAATGGGTCACCTTCTGCGGATCTGCAAGTGTCTCGCAATTAATAAGACTTAAAATCCACCAAAATCGAGTACTGCCGATTATCAAGAATGCGTCTTGGTATATTCGGAACTCTGTAATTCACCTTGATCTAGTAATAAGCATACGTGATAATGCAACGCATCCTAGCACCCAAATAAACCATCTTCACTGATTCATTGTCCAGTCTTGATGTTGACACGTGAACTTAGATGGCTGAAGCGACATCAAGCGACCTTCCTGCGTATATATATTTATCTACGTTTCGGAGGACATTCACTTGGTTGAAATTTCCTAGTATCTCCTATTTCATGTCTACTGAATATATTTTTCATTATTTGTCAAGTAGTATATGACTAATGTACAATAAAGTTATTTACATAAAAAACTTATTACAATAATGAAATGCATATGAGCAGCAGGTAAAAAAAAATTTTTTTCTTATTCCATCCCATATCAAGCAGGGTAAAAAGGGTATTTGCAATAGGCAAAATAACGAGCGATGAAGAATTACCCAAGAGGTAAAGATAAGGGAAAATGCAAGTGGAAGGCGAAGGAGGTGGTGTACTTCTGGGGAGGGAGTTGTCCTCGCAAACGGCGTTCCGACTCTTGCCCAGAGTGCGATGTGAGTGCGGCCGGGTAAACGGAGATACAGAAATATCGACAACATAAAAGTGCCATAAATCGAAAAGTAGACATATTGGAACAATGGGAGGATTCGTGAGGGTCTGGCCGGCCGATTACAATTGGCAGCAAGCGTCCACCAATGCCATTCCCAGTACATTACAGAAAGCTCCACCACCCCCAGGTGACTCAATAAAATTTTGCGATTAATAAAAAGTATAACATAATTTTATTTCACACTATTTTTCGTCTATTAATTGGCTAGAACAATTGACGATTTTTTGGAGAAAAAATTCTAGTCATTAAGAATTTAGTATAATAATCTGATAGAAAATTTATTGATAAATAAATCCTAAATAAGTTTTTGAAAAAAAGTAAGTTTCATTTCGTCGAAGAAATAATAGGAATAAAAGTAATAATAATAATATAAATAAACAACTTTTCGAATTTTAGTTAGAAAATACTTTTTCACCAAGTTTAAATATACTTTTTTGTCGTAATCCTTCATTATTCTTAATTTTTTAGGACTTAAAATCCAATTAACTATAATTTAATTTTATTAAATTAATAAAATTAAATAATGTAAATTTTTATATACAAATTTTACAATTATGTGATAATTAAAAATAATACATCTATTACAGAATAAAATTTTATAGCACAAATTTATAATTATTTATGACTTAAAATTGAATTAACTATTATTTAATTTTATTAATTTAAAACTTAATTTATATTCGGTTGCCATTTTGTTGGAAGCGTTCTCAACAAAAGAACAAAAGCCAAGGAATCCCATAAATATTTCAAAATTAAGTTAATTTTTTGACATCAATTTAAAATTGTAATAATTAAAAATAATATCTTAATGAAAAAAATATAATTTTTTTCGAGTTAAAATCGAATTAACTATCATTTAATTTTATTGAATTTATATTCGGTTTATATTTTGTAGGAAATTGTTCTCAAGAAAATAACAAAACCAAAAAGGCCGTAAAGATCGTAAATTAGTTAATTTTTTGACATCAATTTAAAATTATGTGTTAAATAAAAATAATATATCTATTACAGAAGAAAATTTTACAGAAAAAATATAATTATTTACGACTTAAAATCGGATTAACTATCATTTAATTTTATTAATTTAATAAAATTAAATAATTTATATTCGGTTTATATTTAGTGGAACCTGTTCTCAAGAAAGAGAAAAGCTAAGGAATCCCATTATCGTTAAATTAAGTTAATTTTTTGACATAAATTTAAAATTGTGAATTAAAAATAATATCTTATAGAAAAAATTACAATTTTTTACGAGTTAAAATCGAATTAACTATCAATTAATTTTAATGAATTAATAAAATTAAATAATTTATATTCGGTTGACATTTTCTGGAACGCTGTTCTCTAGAAAAGAAAAAAAGGCAAGGGATCCCATAAATATTGCAAAATTATGTTAATTTTTTGACAAATTTAAAACTAATAATTGAAAATAATATCTTATAGAAAAAATTATAATTTTTTACGAGTTAAAATCGAATTAACTGTAATTTAATTTTTTTAAATTAATGAAATTAAATAATTTACATTCGGTTTATATTTTGTGGGAAGCTGTACTCAAGAACAAAAAAAGGCAGCAAATTCCATAAATTAAGTTAATTTGTTGAAAAATTTAAAATTATGTGATAATTAAAAATAATATATCTATTACAAAATCAAAATTTTGAGAAAAATTATAATTATTTATGACTTAAAATCGTTTTCACTATTATTTTATTTTAAATTAATAAAATTAAATAATTTATATACGGTTTACATTTTGTGGGAAGTGTTCTCAAGAAGATCAAAAGCTAACAAATCCCACAAATATTGAAAAATTAAGTTGACATTAATTGAAGATTATATGGTAATTAAAAATAATATATCTCAATTTCTGTATTTTAGAAGAAAATGTCACAGAAAATTTTTTTTCGTCTTTTCTTAATTTTATTGTTTCGTTGTCGACTGGGAGTATACAGATACGTGAGATATGATGAATTTATAAAAATATAAGATAAAAAAATTGGAAAATTGAAAAAAAAGTTGCCGGCAGATGTGTTTTGTCATGGTTACATTTTCCCTGAGCCTATTGTCCTTTTACCATTGAAAACCATCGAAGGAAAGAACTTTCGAACTGTATCTTTACCGTTGTCAAGACGCGTGCCCATTGAGGGGGTACAATATTTTGGGAAAACAGGTGCCACGAGGGGATTTTCCTTCACCCAATTTTCTAATGAAATATCCGACTAGATAAATAGAAATTTAAAGTCTTTCCCTGAACCTTCTCTCTACTTGGTAATGTTAGACTAAAATAGAAATTTTAGCTCTTTCCATCTTTTATATCGTTGAATAGGTATGTAAATATTTCATCGTAAAACACGCAACATTTAAGCTTTCACGCAAGTAAAAATATAAAAATAAAATTACAAGTTTTATTGCAGTGTTATTACTTTCAGCTAAGAGCAAGCAATAACGATTCCAACACTACTGTGTGCACATTTATTTTTATATTTCACTATAATTAAATTCTTGTGTTTGGTTAGAAATTTCATACCAAATACATAATACAATTTATTAAGATAGAAAATTACAACCTACGTTCTATTAATTTTTTTGTCTAAGGTTTCCTATGAGTCATAGTATTTTTAGTTTTTTAATGTTTAATTATTATAGTGGAAATTTATGCTAGTTAAGCCTGGACACGTAGTATTTAAAAAAAACACCTAAATACATAAGATAGAGAGAAAACGTTCGAGCAAGAGGCCTAAATAGATAAATGATCAATTGTTCACAGTCACTTTCTTATGCAATTTGATTCTGTAACCCCTGTTCTTTTTAGGGCGAAGAAGTACTACTTTTGTTTATTTTTGGCGTGTGAAAGCGGGTCTTCCTCAAATGGTCATTTGTCGATGGTAAAATAATGAAAATGCGGTCCTTTCGCGCTGTGTCGGTCTTTTTTTCATCTCATCCGACAATCTGAGGCATTTCGTAGCAATTGCAATGCAAATTGACAACGATCTGTGCACGTGTACCGCTCCGTTCATTTTCAATTCGTTTTCAACTTTCCCCCTCATCAGGGATTCGTTTTTTAAACCGGTTCCTCAATCAAACCGTGATATTCCATGAATCCAGGCTTTAGCACACTGTAGACGTACTTCCCATGCACCACAAATGTTACACAACTGGGCACTGAACATTGCGCATTTCGTACTAGACCAACTTCCATTAACTTCAACAATTTCATTGGGCGGTAGTAGACACCAAAATTTTTACGATTCCTCCTGAATTTCAATGAAAATCCCAAAAATACAAAAATTTTTTGTAAATCTTCATTTGGATTTTGAAGAATATCTTAATTTTTTTTCCTTGGTCTAAAAGATCGATGTTTTTTCTATGCAGAAAATATATTTTTAATCAATTTTTCCGTAATAATAAATGCTCATTAATTTATTCGCTTTCCGATAATTTACACGAATCGTTGTGGGAGGGCCTTAGCGCAAAGTACTTTCACCGTTCTTAGTTTTTTCTCAGTTTTATCCGAGTAATTTTGATCTTTTTATGGGACATGCTATACCTTCTAACTGGCGCTCTGATGGGTCGGATGAATCTTCCTTAATGCTTTTTTTTTGTCGAGAGGTCGTCTGACCGGACCACTTTCTTTGCCGACTCTAGCATAAGATCGATTGCGATCAGTGACCGGTTTTATGCAAGAATCCGAAAATAAACCTGATCTAGTAGGTATTAACAACATAAGCGCACGGAAACGTCGATGATGTAATTAAGTCATAGTCCTAACAGTTATTTTGCATTTAAAAAAAAAACAAGAAGTAAACATTGAAAACAGTCTTTATTATCTCTGCTGAACTGGAAAATAAAGGAAAAGATAAAGGATAAAAAAGAAAGGAGTCAATAACTTTTCCCTCGCTAATTATCCACAAGAAGTTTCTCTTTAATACAAAACGACTGAAAATTAATTAAGAATTTAACTAAGCTTTGTACAAACTAAAGTATATATTTTTATTGTAAAGTTGTGTAGTTTAATTCGAAATGAGAATGAACACGCGAGCTTAGGAGAATCGGTCAAAGAACCAACTACCGAACAGAATCTTGACGACTGATGAAATAAATTAGAAAGAACACGATTAGAAAAAAATATGCTTTGTAGGAAAGTATCAGCTAGAATGAGTTTCCCATTTGGCAGTATCCCTCGTTACACCTATATCACAAAATAGCTGCTAGTCACTTTCCACCTTAAGGAATTTTCCCAAAAAGCTCCAAAAAGAGCAAGATACAATGAGAATATAATGACAAAGAAGATTCTCTCCATTCTTCACTTACTACCTATAAAATCTCACTCATACACTCTAATGTTCATAACGAAACTGACACGATATTTATAAACAGGGTTTCCCAGAGAAAGTTAAAAAAAAAATTATGTGGTAGTACACTCTATTTGCAAGAACTTCCAACGTATAGTCTCTTTACCTATATTCCTTCCCTGACGAGTTACGATTTTTTGGTAGATTTTTTGGAAATGTTACCTTATTTGAAAAAAAATCTATCAACAGGCTACCACAGTTTTGAATTCAAACCTCTGAACTGTACACTTTTTCCATAAGGAATCCCCAGATGTAGAAATCCATGACAGTAAGATCGGGGGAATGAGATGGCCACGGGATGACTCCTCCTCTACCATTCCACGTGAGATATTGTTGGTTCAACCAGGCACGCACTTGTTGGGTGTAGGTGTTTCAGTAGTAAACAATGCTGAAGCATATTCGAAGCATCTGATAAACTTAGGAAAAATTTGACCTTGAATTTGATTTTGTAGGTGGCATGAAAAGAGCACTGACTTCTGACAGACATAGTGGTCTTCATTTTTAATTAGAAATCATGTATAATTAGTATGCCCTTATGTTTAATTCTAGAGATTAAACTCCATGATTAAGTTCATTATTAAGCTTTCAAACGGTAGAAGAATTTTCACAACTCCTCCTGTAGTACACTTACTGCGTATCAATTGTTGCAGAACTACACGAGATCGACCATGTCTGTTCAGGTGATGATGATAAATAGAACTGTTTGGTTTTCCAGTTTATAATTTTATCCACAATAAATTACTGAAGGATTTACAAACATTAGACGTTACAA